ATTTGTGAAGAAAAGAAACAACTTGGAAAAGATGGTACGGCCAAAGGGAAAAGGCAACGTATTTATTTCGTACAAGGAAGTAATCAATCGATCGATCAATTCGTCGTCGTACTGAAAGAAAAGCAACCTTTCGACAATTTTACCTCGCGATTAGTTTCGTATATTGTATACGAAATTACACGATGATACATTACGCGGATGTTGTAACGTAGAATTAAAACCACGTATCTTCCAGCGAACAAACTGGCGAATAATAACGGAGATAACACGATAATTACAGGTAGTATAATAATCAGAGGTAGTAGCGTCTTCTCGTTTGCGTTCGATTGCGCATTGTCTGGATCGTTAGCGAATTAACGAGCAGCTGTGACGCGAAGAGAAAAAGAGAGAAAAAGTCTTTGGTATCGAAGAGAAGGAGGATCGAATTTGTCTCGAGTCGACGAGACATCGTCATCGCGATCGACCACGACGACGACGACGACGACGACGACGACGACAGTCAAAGTTCCTGCGTACCGACATTTCGGACGAAGCGATGGACATCCATTGATTAGTGTCGGACCGGAACCACGTAAGGCCCAGCGAGTATTTCCCATTGAGATTAACGTGTTGACATCGACTGAACCACCATCCGCCGCGGTAGTTTCTCGCGCAGTGAGTCGCGCTCGCGTCCATGTCCCGATCTTTCGCGCTGAAAGCCATTCCGTTTTGATAGGAGAGGGCGTCGGTCGCGTTGCCAGAGTAGCCGCGAACCTGCAGCCTGTAGCCGGTCTCCTCGGATTCGACCCTGAACGACTGGTACTCGGCGCGCCAACGTTCCCCGTAAATGTCCGTCATGTCGACTCGAAGGCTGGTGCAATCGTCGTCGGTGGTGGTGGTCAGCCTGTGAAGGACTTGGTTGCCGATCCAATACTCGCTGACGGGCGAGCCGAACCCGAGGGAATAGTCGCGCCAGTTCCGGTCGAAGTCCAGGCTTCCGTCCACGCGACGCGCCACCACGATCCAACCTTTGCGGCAAAACACCAACATCGGCCTGCTGCTGCTGCTGCTGCCTCCCACCTCCAAAAGTCGCAGCCCGTCCGCCGGCTCGTCCTCCGTGCTCGTTGGCTCGCAGTCGCCGGTCAGATTGCTGCCGATCAGGTGATACCGATCCTCCAGCTGTTGGAAACTCGAGAACAGCAACGTCTCGTCCTCGTTCGAGACGTTGCTCGACGACGACGACGACGACGACGAAAGTCCAACAGCCCCGTTGATCAGTCGATCGATCGCTTCCTCGTGTCTGTCGCTCCTCTCCTGCAGCTTGGACGCGCTGACGCTCAACGCCTGCACGGTGCGTCGCAGGTTGCTCAGCTCCTCCCTGGTCAACGACAACTCGGCCCCTTTCCGAGCGGCGTTTATACCGAGCCGCGTCAACTCTCGCCTCGTCAACGAATTGTTCGCCTCCATCGCGTTCTCCAACGATCGCAACGAGTCGACGAATCCTCCCAGCTGCGACTCGTTCGCCTCCTCCTTCCTCCTCGCGAGGAGCGACTCGCCTTCGCCACTCTCCGTCACGTTCGAGATCCTGCCGGCCAGCTCCACCTGATCCCTCTCCAAAGCTTTCACTCGCCTGCCCAAACTTTTCACTCCCGCCGACCATTCGTGCCCGAGACTCTCGCACGCGGCCACACGCTTCTCCAACGACGTCCGCCTCTGCGCCGCCAGCAACACCTTACGCTCGAGGCTCTTCAAACGATCGTATCCTTCCTTCAGCCGCGTCCCATGCTGCCCCTCCTTCCTTTTCCAGTATCCGCGGCCGGTAGCACGCTTCCTCGCGAACCTACGCCGAGAGGCCACCGTCACTGTCGTCCTTCTCTCTGCTTCCTCTTCCTTGCCTCTCTTCTCTGCTGCCCCCTCTTCCTCTCCGCCCCTGGTCGGCCGCCGTGATTGAACCGCCGAATTTGCCAGCTCGGTCGAGAACGACTCGCACCGAAGAGACTTCACCTCGATTTGAATCGAGCTCAACTGAAATTCAACGAAAGTTTCATCGTGTCTCAGCGCAGCTCGAAACCTCTCGCCGATTTTCGAATTTCTCGACGCGATTGATGAACGACACATTGGGAAGAAAGACGATAGACAGGCAGCATTCCGAGAGCATAAAATTCCCATTATTTGGAGATTAGTTAAAGTAAAAGAAATGGAAAACCTTTGCGCGAGCTTTTATCCGAAGAAATACACTGTTTCCTATCTGAACGAAAATTCCATCACTTCCAGGACGTCGTCATTTTGACCATTTTTGGTTTAGTTCCAGTGTTATCGAAGGATCAAAAAAGAAGCAAAGTGCAGAGGCTGAGGAAAGAAAACGTTTGCCCGTGGCTGTCATAGATGAATTCCACAAGAACGTTGAATTTCAAGCTTAAGAAATTGTTTCTCTTGCATCGTATTCTACTCGTCGCAAAGGTAAAACTTTTCCAAGAGACTGTCGAAAAATGGCAAAAAAAAAAAGGCTTCTGATCATTCGACACTGCGTTCTAACAGCGACTTTATACTTCTGACCGCGTGGATGTAACGTTTATATTTCGAATAACGTTAACGGTTAGCTTCTCGATAATTTAGACTCGCATCGATGTTGCAACTACACGACGACAAATGAAATGCTAGCGAAACCTAACCTAAACCTAATCCAGAACCATAAAGTCGCTGTTAGCACGCACGCGTCCGCAATGTTGTTTAGTTGATTAAGAAAAACTGTTTGCGTCAAGGGATCTATTAGGTTCCTTGGCAACAATTTTCATCTTCGCGATCAGTGGAGTACGATGCAAAAAAGGAAAAACAAAAGATTCAATTTTGCGACAGATTTTCCTTCCCTATCCCCTGGGTACAAAGTACAAGACAAGATCGATCAAATTCCTCGGACGGGAATGAGATCGATGGGGAATTAAATGGACGGACAAGCAAGCCAAGAATGTTGAGCAGCAGCTGCGAAACGGCGCAACGATTCGCCAGTGAGAAATCGATTTCTGTTGGTTGGCCAACGCGGCAAGCGGAGTGGGGGCGGGGGGAGGGAGGGAAGGAGTAAGTAGCAGGTGTTTCGGTTTCTCGTCGACGTTTCACGTGGGCACGCAAGCAAGTACGTCGAATTACCGTGTATTTCTGCAGCTGTCCCGAAACGAGGTGTAGCGCGAGCACAGGCGAAGACAGAGCAGAAAAGAGAAAGGGAAGGAAAGTGGGAAAGAGGTGGAAAGATGGTAGTAGCAGCACGTAGTAGTAGTAGTAGTAGTAGCAACAGCGTGAAACGATGGCAGATGCGTGCGCGAGATCGTTGGGGAATGAGCGGCAGGTGGCCATTCGATTCGACGATAAAAAACAGGGAGAGAGGGAGGGAAGAAAAAAAGAAAGAGAAGGAGGGAGAAGAGAAAGATAACGAAGAAAAAGAAAAAGACGATGGAGACGATGGTGAAGAGGAAGAGGAGGATGACCAGGATGCCAAGATAAGAAAACAGAAAGAAGAAAGAAAATGAAAAGAAGGCAAAGCTAGAGGGGGGAAAGAACCAACTCTTTTAGTTGGTTAATTAGCACGTTGACTGCCACGGTGATTTTCATAAATTTAATTTAATCGTGTTATATTATGAAAAACTCCCATTATAGTACATAGTAATCATCAAATATAGAATGTGTTTTTTTGAATTATCTCGTAGTTTTATATTTTTATTATATTTCCTGTTTATATGTTTTTTTTCTGTTCTCTTGCCTCACTAACAGACTACGAATTTCATCGTAGCTGCACAAATGTGGCAAATAAACAAACAAGTACGATTTATCTGGTAGTTGGCAGTGAACGTGTTAGTTGGTTAGGGGTTCGTTATACTACCTGACTGGCAATGTCGGCGCAGGTGCGAAACAGCAGGCTAAAGCGTTCTTTCACCGCGGCGATGTCGACGCGAATGGTACCGAGGACCGCCTCGATCTTGGCGATTCTGCCGCCGAGATTTCGGATTCCTCTTCCAACGGCGGCCACGTCCCCCTTCAACAGGGCGAGCTCGCCTTTCATCCTGGACCTCTCGGCAAGCTCCTCGCTCGCGTTCCTCGTCCGCAGCACTTCGGCGATCTCCCCTTTCAGCTCGGTGACCGCGCTCCCCAGCCATCTCACGCGCAACCTCTCGTTCTTCGCCTCGTTTCCGTTACCGCCGCGCAGCGAGCTCACTTCCTTTCTGAGAACGAGAACACACCCCGCCCCCAACCAGAGAGCAGAGAGATCCTGCCCGTTAATCTCGGAATAATCGAAACCAGAAACGCTTTGTCGGAACGCGCGCGCAATGCAACGACCAACGAACAACAACAAACATTTTTTTCCTTTACCTCAGCTGTTTGATCTCGTTCTTTAGGACAAACAGCTCGGTGTTCTTCTCGATCGCGCGCTTCAAACTCGCCTCGAGAGCGTTGTAATCCTGCTGCCGGTGATCGAGAAGAGCGTTCACTTGCTCCCGCAGCGACCTTATCGCGTCCGATACGTTCTCGTCCCCGTGAACGAACGTCGCCAGTAACAACAACAACAACAACAACGTCGTTACGCGCGACAGCCAACAGTCTCCTCCTCTCCTC